AAATTTCAAATCATTGGATTTGCATTTCATATGCCTATTGGTTTCATAGGGAGGCGATCAAAGAAGATGATGATGGACTATTGGATGGCGCCATTGCTGAAATTATACAAAAGGCTAAGCGCAAACGGCTGGCGCAAAAAACACAACAAAACCGTTTGGGAATGATGAGACACCTATACATTGTACTGGATTGTTCCGAGTCAATGACAGTGCCTGATTTGAAACCCACCCGAATGTTATGTACCTTGAAAGTACATTTAATATTAAGGGTTAAGTTATCAGACGATATTAATACTATATTTTAGCTTTTAGAAATCTTCATAGAGGAATTTTTCGACCAGAATCCTATCAGCCAGTTAGGCGTAATCGTATTGAAAGGCAAACGAGCGGAAAAGCTTACTGAATTGACTGGAACCTCGAAGTTACATTTAAAAGCACTTGAAAGGTATTAATATATACATATAAAAAAGCAATTAGATACAAAAATTTTTCCCTCTTTAGCGTTAGTAAAATTCCACTAACAAGCGAGCCGTCATTACAAAATGGTCTAGATTTGGCCATGAAAGCATTAAAAGTTGTACCCAGTCATGCCTCGCGAGAAATACTGATAGTAATGGGTTCTTTGACAACATGCGATCCTGTCGACATCAATAATACAATTGATGCGCTCAAAGTCGACAGCATTCGCTGCTCCGTAATCTCTCTTTCTGCTGAGATACACGTTTGTCGCCACCTAACACAACAAACGCAAGGTACTTACGGCGCTGTACTTGACGATGCTCATTATCGCGATCAGTTGCTAGCACACGTAGATCCGCCTCCAGCAGCGCAAACTCAGGAGAACTCATTGATTAAGATGGGTTTTCCACATGCTAAGACAGATGGTGGAAAAGACCCGCCGCTTTCTATGTGCATGTGTCACATCGAAAATACAGAAGAACCAAGTAAACTGACTTCCGGCGGTTATCATTGCCCTCAGTGTTTTAGTAAATATTGTGAGTTACCAGTTGAATGCCAGACTTGTGGCTTAACATTAGTATCAGCTCCACATTTGGCTCGATCTTACCATCATCTCTTTCCTGTTCAGCATTTTACTGAACTGGAATTTAACGGGCAGGCGGCAAATTGCTATGCTTGTCAAAAACCATTAACGGAGGCAACGGATAAAAATGTATATCGCTGTGAAAAATGCACTCAAATTTATTGTATCGACTGTGACATTTTTATTCATGAAACTTTGCACACCTGCGTTGGGTGCAATACAGCTAATTCCCATAGAAAATAAAAATGTAAATGTTTTATAAAAAATCATGTTTTCCATATTTAATATTTTCCATTTCAGATTTATCCCCTTGAATGGAAATAGCAGGAGATTGGAGGGTGTTGGCTACAAAGACAAAGTAAAAAATGTGGAAGTAACCTATTTATATCGATTAAACAATCCACGAAAGTCCGGAACGACGGAGATTTATATCTGCCTGAGAACTATCACTTCAGCAATATTCTACAAAACTGTTTCAGTGTTAAAAAAATACCGGTTAAAAGATCCACCTTTTATGCAATAAAAAAAAAAATCAATTATATTCAATTGGTGCCATGGCACAATAGGTCAAATTACACAACAATCCTAAATTAAATGGGAGTAATACGATGAAATATGTACTGAAAAAATTTAAACAAAATTCACTGAAGTTATTAACGCTTTCGTGACTTTTGACTTTTCTATGCCCCAACATGAAAGGGAACGTGTTTTTTTCTAGACTTTCGTTTCGTAAAATACATAAATGGTTCAAAATATTAGTGGAAGTAGTACACAAAACTCAATTTTCAACCTACTTGTCATCTTCGTCGACATCATCTGTCGGATGTTCACAATTCATCATGCGTTTGCTTAAATATTTAGATGATATCGAATAGATCTAGAACAATGATGCCCAAAAATCCTCCGCCCTTTGTGCCGGAGAAACAATGTTAAAATTTTAATCGATGTTATGTAACTAATATACATGGGGAAGTGTACATGTATTCGAGTTTAAAAATTATCAAATCTAAGCACTTATCCGCTTTCGACCGCTGTGGTGTAGCAGTGCGCGCTTCCCCTCCGCAGCACCCGAGTTCAAACTCATCGCAAAAAATGTAGAAAAAAGGTTTTTTCTTAACAGCGGTCGTTCGTCGGCAGGCAATGGCAAACCTCCGAGTGTATTTCTGCCATGAAAAGCAGGTTCTCATAAAAATACAATCGCCATTCGGAGTCGGCGTAAAACTGTAGGTCCCTCCGCTTTGTGTGACAATATCAAGGCGCACGCCACAAGTCGGAGGAGAAGCTCGGCCAAACACTAACATATGTGTAAGCGCCAATCTATTATTATTATCCGCTTTCGAGAAGAACTGTGCCACCAAAGCGTCACGTCTTTGTGATGCGAAGGCGATACTGACATACGGATTTATTTCGACAGGAATGGAAGTTACTGGGTTGATAAGATGAGAAGTGGCGAAAAAGATACTCACAGAGGAAAAGTTTTCGATAAAATCAAATTAGAAAATGGAAAGGATTCTGGTTTGCAAATGTGCATAGTTTGCAAATGTAATTGCAAACCTGGAACCCTTATGGATTTTGTTTGTTTGTATTTTTCATTTTTATTTAACCACGATTAAAACGTTTTTTATATTCAGAGTTAAAAACCTTATTTTAAATCAAAAATTAGTAAATTAAACAAATTAATTCCAAGTTTGATCATTAATAACAAAAACTTATAATAGTTAACTAATTTGTTGTCGTTCTTTTCTGCCTTTTGCATATCCTATGTTGCTGACAAATTTCATTTATTTACATATCCATAAGGTTGCTAAAATTAATAGGACAAATATCTGTTTATGAAAGAAGAATATTACCAATTTGTTTTAAAATTGGTTACACAAAAACACGAACTTTTTTACAAACTGAAAATCTGCTTTATTTAATTGAAAATTTTTGTTTACGTAATATTTAAGAATTCGCAGAAATTAAAGTGTATGTTGTTTTTGTGTAATGAGTTACTATCCCCTTTTTAACTTACAATGGTGACGACATAGTGATAGCGAGAGGCTGGCTGGGGAAGTAGGATTTCACAACATCTTGAATCACTTTTACAAATATCAACTACAAATAGAATCAATAGATATACATACAGTATTGGCCAATACAATAGCACCCCCATTTCAAAGTCATATTGTTTGCCACTCATGTTTATTTATTTATTTTTAAGAATTTTCAATTAAAATACAGTTCATTCTCTGACAAAACTCACATAAACTTAAGTTTAAAACCTTTTAAAAGTCCGCAAAAAAGTGCAACAAATTTTCACCCAAATTTCAAACTTTTTTCTCAGAAGCGGTAGAATTTTTTTGAATACACAGTTTTATAGCCCATTCGATTTTAGTCTAATAATGTGCAAGTTTCAAGTGGCTAAAAATTACCGTTGATTTTTTAGATTTTTTTTCGCCGAGAATGTTGCGGGTTTCTGCCATATAAAAATAAATTGTGTTTAGTCGTTATATGGAAGCAAATGAGACAAATAAAATTCTAAAAAATCAACGGTAATCTTTAGCGACTTGAAACTTGCACATTATTGGACTAAAATTGAATGCGCTATAAAACTGTGTACTCAAAAAAAATTCTAGAGCTTCTGAGAAAAAAGTTTGAAATTTAAGGGAAAGTTTGTTGCGCTTTTTTGCGGTCTTTTAAAAAGTTTAAAACATGGGTTTATATGGGTTTTGTTAGAGAATGAACTGTATTTTAATTGAAAATTCTTAAAAACAAATTACTAAACATAAGTGGCAAACAATATCGCTTTGAAAGGGGGGTGCTATAGATATGTCCAATACTGTATGTACATACATATTCAGCCTCATTGCGTAAGTCGTAAATTAGGCTGAATTGTACGACTCGACAACATTAGCATTGTCTACTGTCGTGCTGAAATAAGTAAACGACGAAAATTGTCGAAAACTATGCAGTGCTGCCAAGTTCTTCCATTTTAATACACTAGTCGAGTGGAAATTTTAGGCAATGACGCTAAATTTTCGATACGATTCGACTCTCGAAAAAACGACTTGCATTCGGCACGACTCTCGCAATGAGGCTGATTGTTACCTCAATTCGAAAAGGCCCTAACCAACAAATTTTTTGTTTTTTAAATTTTAATATTTTGATATGCTTGTCCGATCTTGCATCCTTTAGTGCAAATAAAACAATAGTGGAATAACTTTGTTTTATTTGCACTAAAGGATGCAGATCGGACAAGCCTATTAAAATATTAATATTTAAAAAACATAAATAGGAACCGATCGGAACCCAAAAATACAACAAATTTTTTATTTTACAGGATAAGTTAAAACGTTATAAAGATAGTATCAAAAACAGGGTAGGGCTTTATAAAAAGGGGCATGTGTTGAAAACATGAGAAATGAAATAAAAATTAGGGCTATTCAGGATATTGTGGAAATGGCCTGGGGTTTGCCGTTGGAATTGCATTTGTAAATTTTATGCTTGCTGCCATGGCAACCGTGTGCATTTTATTGTTGTGAATTTACAAATGCAACGAATATACAAATGAAAGACTACTTTTTACCCACAAATGTCATCGCCGTCGGGAATGCGCAATCTTGTATTCTTTCGTTCTTGGGTTAAAAGTATAAAAAATTTAGTCATCATTAACTTCTTTTCTTTGCTGGGCTGTTCAAATCGAAATGCAATGTTTTTGTGATTCAATTGAAATTTAGGTAAAGAGTTTTTGGGGAGTGATGCCGGAGTTTAGGTCACCGCCAATGGTATCAGCAAACGCTCAACGAGCAGCTCGTCATTTGGGATACCGAATCCACCAATCCGAGGTACACCTACATGGAGGCCGACTTTCTCACAAAAAAGGGTTTTGAATAATCTATTCGAAACTCTCAATTTGCTATTTTCCGTTCGTATCTATCGTTTTTTTAACACTTCTAAATGTTAAACAAGCTCTCCAAAAAAAGGGTCCAAAAATGCATTGAGCCTAGTCTTTCTTTTTTTTTAAAGCTGAATCATTTACAGCAGATTCCTTTGTTTCTTTCGTGTACTCCAACTTAATGGGACGGCAAAATCTTTCCGCTAGACAGCGAACGTCTTAAGGGTATTACAGTCAGATACCATAACCCTCATTGTGAGAGTCGTGTCGAATGCAAGTCGTTTTTCGAGAGTCGAATCGTATCGAAAATTTCACGTCATTGCCTAAAATTTCCACTCTACTAGTGTATTAAAACGGAAAACCTTGGCAGCACTGTATAGTTTTCGACGCTTTTGGTCGTTTACTTATTTCAGTACGACAATAGACAATGCTGCTGTTGTCGAGTCGTACAATTTAACCAAATTTACGACTTACGCATTGAGGCTGAAAATTAAATATTGCGTATAATTATTATTGAACAATGGGAAAGTTGTTTTCGTCACCTGAGAGGCAAATCGTTAGATTAAAGACTTGTTCATCTTCTCCTAATAATTACCTGTGATTTTTTTCTCGTCTCGCGGGACTATTATTTTACCATGGAAATTATTTTCTTCTCATAATAAATATCGTGGACTTATTTTTTCTCGCGGGACTATCATTTTTTCGTCTCGAGGGACGTTTATTTCAAGACGGAAATGATTTACGTCTTCTCTTAATAATTATATGGGACTTTTATTGAAATGAAACTTCTCAATTGAGTTCGGAGATTTAACGCGTTAATGCCATCATATTTGTATCGTTCATTCGATTTTCAAAAATGAGGTGTCGAATAAAGGGCTTTGCCAAGGCAAATTCCCAATAAACACCTAAAAAATATTTCTCCAACCTTGGAGAAATTCATAGTTCTCAAGTTGATATCCAACATCATTCTCCAACTCATCTCTAACCGACGCACAGATACGTAAAAAGTGATAGAGAAACGATTTTTAATTATCAAGTGGAAAACGAAAGCTATATAAAGAGGAAAATTACCAACAAAAGTAAATAATCTTCAAAGTATCCTCAAATAATCTTGAAAGAAAATAAAATCCGAAGCGAATCAAGTGGCAAAATCACTGTCGGACTGTATACTGTGAAGTGAATTATTGTAATACGATATTGATTAACTACATACATAATACAAAAGGAGTAATAAAATAAAAAATTAATATTGAAATTCATCTATTTATTTATTTGTTTTTTTACAGTCTGTTAGACTTATATTATCCGTATGCTTCATGATATTAACGCATACGGATTACTTAGAGACTTCAAAATGTTTAGTTTGTATGCACTATTTACCTCTGCGTACGATGAGACCTCATGGAAAATAACTAATTACCGCCTTGGCCTCTTTTTTGGCGGGCAGACATGCATACAATTTTGATATTTTTTGATAATTTTTAATTTTTAATATTTTTCAGAATATAAATTTTTTGAACGTTGGCGTGTCAAATGAAAGCTTTTGGGTCTTTCTGATTGGTCGGAGAAGAAAGCTTTCTGATACAACTCTGCGCTGAACTGGTTTTCAAACGAGTTAAATAATTTAACTGGTTCAATTTTCCAACAACAATTGCATGCAATTTAACTTGTTTATGAACATGTTTTGTTCATTTAACTGGTTCAAGCCCATTTAACATGTTTAGCTCATCAATTTGAACGTAGTATTATATTAACCTCAAGTTGAGCTAAATGTTTGTTGGATATCGACAGTGGTGTCGACTGCGTTCCGATTATGAATACAGCTTTTTCAGCCGAGTACCTCTCAAATGTTTGGAATTATGTCATTAAATTAATTGAATAAACAAATATTTTCATTCTTCTCTCATTAGTAAACCGCAACAACCCTGCAAAAATCGTTGGACCATGTAGTCTATTTGTGGTATATTGGAGTACTTACAAAAGTGTTCCTCTGTCATGCTGTAGCGGACCAACTCGTGTCTTTGCGCCAGCTTATTGTTTGTTATCCGATCACTGCTCGTGTTTTAACGAAATGTGATTGAAGTTGAGCATTTGAAAGCACATTTGCATGTCTGGCTGTAGCTGAACGTGTAGAGATGCTCGCTGTTAGTTCTTAGCTCCCAGCATGTTCGGGTTCGAATGTCGTCAGAGGCAACATTTAATTTTTAATTTTTGTCTTTGGTTTTTATTAATTTCAAAAAAAAGCATATGCGAAGTGAAGAACAAAAGCGCATACAAACGAAAAAATATAACGACAATGTCATTGGAGTATGTTGGGAGTAGTTTTGTGCTACTCTGATGTAATGCAGAGATGGAGTATATGGTCCTGCCCTAGGACATCGCAATGTTAATTGGACCATATTTTTTATATGAATTGTGGTTAATTTTGGAGTACTCCTTGGTCCTTCGGGAGTACTCCTTACATGCATGCATGGAGTAGTCGCGATTTTTGCAGGGATGTATGAGATTGGCCCGCAAACGTTCAAATAAACTTGTCAATTAAACAAACAATTTATTTTTCTTGTCCGCGCACTTGCTCACCACGACCAGTGTTGCCAGGTTTTCGGCGTGAGAAAACGTCCCTCTTGGTGTGAAAAAACGTCATTTCCTACCCAAAAACGTCTTTTCCATGTATGCACACAGAATTGGTCTTATTAATCTTTTATTGTATACAAAGGTACATATATACGTAAGGTATATAAAAATGTTATTTCGACGGAGCACATTTGAAATTCATTAGTGGTATTCACCAAAGTGAGCAAGTGGCCTGGCACTCTGGCAAAACAGCAGATAAGCTCAAGCAACGACTGTTGACAACAAGTTGGTGAATACCACTACTGTAAACTGGTTTGAGATCGTTAATATAAAAATCATTTTATACATACACTTGTGATCAGCTGATTAAGTCAAAAACATTGTGATCGATTTTGGCTGTTTTTCTTTTGTTTATTTAATGTTTATTATTTTTCATAAAAGCCTAGCTCATTATATAACTAACACAATATAAATCCACATTTCAAACTTTGTGCAAAAATAATAAAAAAATCCGCAAAGTTTCAGCTAGATTTTCAGGTTTTTATTCAGAGTTTTAGAATTTTTTTGAGTATGCAGTTTCATAATTTTTTTCTTGTAGACATTTGGTTAGGTGGTCGGTTGTCGAAAATGCTAAATTACGTTCTGCTAAGAAGGAGCATAGCGCTTTTGCGCGCGTGCGTGTTGCAATATATCAGCTCTTCTTGATTTGGCTTTTAATATGCAATTGCAAACATTGTAATAAGCCTTGTAACCTCAAGTGTTTAGACAACCAGCCTTTAAACGCGGGCTCCTTAGTCAAAGAATAAAAAAAATGCGCGTACGCTTGGTTTGCATTATATTTAAGTCATATGTCTCCAAAGAATAAATAGCTTTTGAGGCACCTGCTGCAAAAAACAAAGCTTGTAAAGATTTATTAAAAAAAAATAATTCAAAATCAGTTCTACTTACAAGATTTAGTAACAAATTTGCCGAAAGTGTGAGCGTATGTACTTACTCTACAAGCAAATAGTACGCTATACATTGAATATATCGTGCATAGAGAAAAATTACTGGGAAGTTAAAAAACGTAATTTTTTACACAAAAATCGTCCAAACGTCAACAGGATACAAAAAACGTCCAAATGAAGTTAAAAACGTCAATCTGGCAACGCTGACCACGACAATCAGAAGGCAAGTGCGCTTGTTTTTTGTCAAGCATAACGCGAGACGGTTGATAAAGATATTTGATCGTCTCCATGGCACTTTACATTTAAAAAAAAAATCGAAGTAGTTACAGGAAAAAGTGGGTTTTCGCGTTCCAGGTGACCTTTATTGTTTTGCTCTCGCTCCTCTCTTTCAAGAGAGTAATTTTGTTATTTGACAGTTTTACAGGTTTTTTCACGAGGTTATCTGGAACGCAACTATAGCAGGCAGCCAGAAAGCTTATAAATACCAAAAATTCAATTTAGTTTGTTTACAAAATTGCAACGATATGTTTTCATGTCACAAAATGAACGTTCCTTCCACCCATAGATATCTCCTTATTAAAAAAAAAAAATTGGTATTCATAAACCAAACCAAACTTTTATTAAGTATGTTAACAAATAAAGAATACAAAATGCGTACTACATCGTCGTTTAAAGAACAAAACCGCGTATCAACAAAATGCAAAACCGCGAAAGTGAGGTTGCATAAATTACTTTTTTGAGAGTAAAAACAATCATATTTCAAAATGGTTCTCTTTGTTATAAATCAATCGCATTTCTGGCTAGTATTTTCAGGACGTATGGATAAGGATTGAGCCAAGAGCTTGTGTGAGCAAATCCAATTTTTGGCAGCCGATGCCAGTTACGCGGTTTTGTACTTTAAACGATGATATAATATTTACATACATACAGCGGTTCACAATTATTATTTCTTTTATGTTATTTAATTTGAGTTATTCTTATAAAAATATAGTTAATTCTTTAACAATATCCGCTTAAATTCAAGTTTCAAGTTTTGTACAATATTTAAAAAAAATTCAACAAACTTTCGTAAAAATGTCGAGCTTTTTAATTCGATTTTCTAGAAAAATTTTGAGTATGCATTTTTGAAGCCCACCCAGTTATAGTATAAAAAGTGCAAGTTTCAAGTACCTAAAAATTGTCGTATTAGATTTTATTTTGAGTTGCGGTTTTCTTCCACATAAAATAAAAAATAAGGAGCTAAATCTAGCTTCAAAAGCAGCAAAACGGTATCGGCCGATTCTTTGACGATTAAATCCTGAATATAGTTTCATTTCAAGAACAAATGCGTTTAAAAATGTTTATAATAACAAAAGAAAAACATAATCAAATAACTAAATGACAATACCTCATTCAAGAATCGGCTAAAAACGGCCGATTCCGATTCTTTTGGTCGATACTAGCTTGTGCATCGTCCGATTAATCGGGTCTACTACTTAAAATATTGATAGAACTTCCAGTTTAAATTGAAAAAAAAGTTTATAAAGATACATATATCTAACATATGTACATATGTATTTTGATCTGGCAAACTGGTGTCTGAGTTAGCACAAGTCAGCAAAATAGGGAAATTTCGGTCACGTCAGTAGCAGAGGGTAAAGACCGCGGTAGAGTTCTGTATACGCAATAAACAAATGAAACAGTCTTCGAATTCTTGGGCTGGAACAAAATTAAAAGGCAGTTGATTTTGCTAATAATATTTAAATCCATAACATTATATTACACATGATTTAAATTAAAGCAAATTCGTTATCGCGTGATTTCCCAATAAACAACAATATAAGAGGTTGGTCCACTAAGATTTTTTTTTTAATTTTCATTAGAGGACTATTAACAAGTATAAGATGACAAGTAGGTACTAATAAAAAAATTCCTTACGTAATATTTTAATTAATATTAATTAGTTAAGTAAACTGTTAATTGGTTTATAAAAGGCTGGTTGAAAAATAAAGCGGAAGAAAGAACATCAGACATGATGTAAGTTGTTTGACTCCAGTTGATCATCGAATTAATATTTAATAAAATGCATATTATTCATGAAAATTTGCCACGTTTTTACATTATTAAAGCATAACACATAGTATGTTCATACACATATGTATGTATATAGTATATATGCACACGTGTGAGCACTGCGTTTCCTGCTTAAAAAAGTTTCAAAATCAATTTAACATACATACAATATACACGTGATGCAATAATGAAAGGTGTTGTACGTTGTGACAGCTCGGAATCGAACTACCTTAGGTCAATATTGTATTTTGGAAGTACAAGATAAACGGGAATAAAAAAAAGCCTTTTAGTTGAAAAAGTACTAAATTGTATGCCTTCTCAACAGCGTTCAATTTTTAGCAGCAAATGTCAGTTACGCGGTTTTGTACTTTAAGCGACGATATGTATGTTAACAGGAACGCAGCAATCTAATACACGGGTGGAGCAGGAACGCAGCACAGCAGAAGCATACAAAAAAATCTGCAAATAAATGGTTTTTTAGGTTTTTAACAAACGAGAACCTGGTTTCAACTTACTTCAACGTGTCTAAATCACAACGCACACACTAATGCAAAGGCGCAACAGGAACGCAACACTATAAAATACGGGCGGAGCAATATACAGGCGGAGCAGGAACGCAGCACAGCAGAATCGTCCGAAAAATCTGCGAATAAATGGTTCATTAGGTTTTGAAATAACAAAGAGCTCAAATGGAATGGTTCATCAATAAAGTCAAAATAATATGTTGTAACTTACGTGTATTAGCTCTTAATCACAATACCAGCACAGGTCGGTCAGCGAAACACTAAGGAAATGACCTAATAAATGCAAAATTATAATCTATTTGTAAAATAATTCGGTTTTATTACAATACTTACCAAATTTCACGCAATTGGAAAACAAATGTCAGCGAATAAGAACAAAACGAACAACGAAAATTGAATCAATGTAGCTTGTTCAGAATTTTTTTCTAATATTTTGGGAAATGTTCAGTGAAAATAGCAAAGAGACAACACATTTTCTTCTAAGGTAGTTCAAGATGGCGGATTAGAGCGAGAAGTTGCCAACGTATAACACCTTTCATTATTGCATCATGCAATATACAAGTAATCTAAAAACCATTTATTCCACAATTGTAAATTTTATTACGGATTCCGGCAGTGATGGAAAAGTAGGCACAATAGTGCCGTTTTTGGCACATTCATGCACAGGAGCACTTTCGGCACAATTCATTCAGTTTCAGCACAGTCATAAATTATAGAAATTTTAGTATGCCAATATATAGCGATCGTATATTACATTATAGATTCAAAAATCGAAAACTAAAATCACTTGAAAATAAAATGAGGGCTATTATATAAAATCAATAAAAATTAATCCATGTAAAGAAGAATAGTCAAAACTGGTCAAAATGTCACACTGCTATTATTTTGCATATAGGTATGTATATTTGTAAAAGTGTCCGAATATCTATATTTCAGTGTTTTCCCCCTTCGTAATTAGAACATTGTGTTATTATACCATGAATTTATGTATGCTGTTGGAACCCTTGATAAAAATTTTCTGTAATAGTTCAATAATTGAATAATTACACGATGCTATAAAAAAAGCAATCAAATACACCCGAAACAAAACCTAGTGTAAGTTGCAAATATGGTCGAGTAAAACATGAAAATGGGTCCCGTATAGTTCCTGAACCCTCAATTTTTTTGTATTCCAAAAAACCGTTATTTTCGTACTTGATGCACCTATCTATTAATTAATTTTTTGAACTTTGATCATCGCAAAAATGTTTATGAAAGCTGCCAAATATGTGTTAGTTATCTAAAAGAGCATTTATCTTCGAATAAATTAATACCTCATCCAATGCAATTGCATAAAAATTGTCGAAGTTACGCAATTTAAGCAAAAATACGGCCTTGAATTTATATGTGTGTATGTACCGGGCGTGCCGATCTTTTGAGCAGTGTGCCTAAGGGGTTCGTCAATATTATTACTCAAAATTGATATAGACAATGGCTCTTAAGCAAAAAATTGTTTTCCCGCCCACATATATCATATATGCGTATCTCAAAAACTACATGACCGATCTCGACCAAATTACATTGAGCTTGGCCTCCTTAAGCACCGTGTTGAAATCGGACAAACATTACTCCACCTGAAATATAGCTAGCCTTGAGCTTTTTGAAATTACCGTTATGTGGGTGAAGCACGTGGTTTTTATCCGATTTCAACTAATTGAAAGACTACTTTAAAACAAATGCAAGAAGTAAATGTTTCGAATTTTGACACTCTTTTTACTCAAAAAAACAATTTGTGTCTTGGAAGTATGAAAAAGCATATGTGAAGTGCAGAACGTAAGCGTATTCAAAAGAAACACACTGACTTTGAAGTTGTTTAAACCAAATTCATTTTAAAATAGTTAAAAATAAATGCAGAATAAGACAGTCGACTTGCTGCTTGCACACAATTCAAACTGGACATTTGAAAGCACATTTATATGTCTGGCTGTAGCTGAGCGTGCAGAGATACTTGCTGTTACTTGTTAGCTTCCAGAAGGTCCGGGTTCGCGTCCCAACAGAGGCAACATGTGAAAATAATAA